TTGTTTTTATTTTAATGTATTGTCTGATCAGGAAAGTATTAGGAATCCTCATAGCAGCAAGGTTAATTCATCTCATGTCAATAGAAGGATAACAGATTTGCATAGGCAGTCAGTTGTATAAACATGTTTTGTCATTTTAATGTTGAAATTGACAGTTTTCTTACAAGAGATGTACTCTCAGGTCATAGGTTTCCATTTTTCATGTTATCGAACCACATCGAATGTATTTGTATTTTTTTAAATTTTTTTATTTCAACATATTACAGGGGTACAAGTGTTTAGGTTACTATATTGCCCTTGCCCCACCTGAGTCAGAGCTTCAAGCATGTCCATCCCACAGACAGTGTGCACCGCACCCATTAGGTGTGAATATACCCATCCCCTCCTCCCCCCTCCCACCTGCCCGACACCACATGAATGTTATTACTTATATGTGCACTTAAGTGTTGATCAGTTAATACCAATTTGATGCTGAGTACATGTGGTGCTTTTTTTTTTTTTTTTTAGACAGAGTTTCGCTCTGTTGCCCTGGCTAGAGTGAGTGCTGTGGCATTAGCCTAGCTCCCAGCAACCTCAAACTCCCGGGCTCAAGCGATCCTCCTGCCTCAGCCTCCCGAGTAGCTGGGACTACAGGCATGTGCCACCATGCCCAGCTAATTTTTTCTATATAGTTTTAGTTGTGTGATTAATTTCTTTCTATTTTTAGTAGAGACGGGGTCTTGCTCTTGCTCAGGCTGGTCTCGAACTCCTGAGCTCAAACAATCCACCCGCCTCGGCCTCCCAGAGTGCTAGGATTACAGGCGTGAGCCACCGCGCCTGGCCCATGTGGTGCTTTTAATGTGTTCTTTTTCTCCACTAGGTTTCATCCAACAAATATTCCAGTGCCTATTGTGTCCAGTAACCTGTTACACCTTATGCTTTGGGGAAGCGGTGGAGAGAAGTTGAGCCACCTTTGCAGCCTGAAATCTCATTTAGATGTGAAGATTAGGCTACTCCTTTCACAAAGTTAAACAGGCCTGTCTGAGGGCAAGAAAAAAACATCCAGAGCCTCCTCAAAGCTTCATTTCCAATAGCCTGATTCTCCTCCATTCAGAGCTGAGTCAACATTGTGTTGATTACATGTAAAGGGATATTACTATAAAGCAGGACTTTGATCTAAAAACTTCTCAAATCCAGCTAGAATATACATAAGCCATATTATGTAAAAGGTGCCATTCAAGATGAGGAGTGGTTATTACAACCACCACATGTCCAGTGGGGGAGGAGGGAGGTGTCAGGTTAACATCTGTTTGCTCTCCACCTGCTGTCATCCAACCAGCTGCACAGACACTTTGTTTTCAGTACCAGCATCTGTGGTTCACAAGCAGCATTCACTACATGTTTTCAGTATCTGCCTATCTGGCTTCTCTGCATGACCCAACATTCACCTTACCTCGGAGGGCAAAATTTATGTAAATCCTAGATCAGAACAAGCATTGTACATTCCTTTGTGTTTCAGAAAGAGCTCTTTGAACCCCAACAAAGACCTATCAGCTCTAAAGGGCCCAGATTTTACTCTAAGGTATAGTCTGCCTTTGTTATGTAATACTTAGAGGCAGTTCGCTGAATATTTCATGTGAAAATATAGTTAAAATACAGTTAATTCTTGAATGGTCAAAGATTGATTACTGAGGCCGCTAACTTCTCTGACCAGACTTCTCATCCCACACCCACAATTATTTTTGGATATTGTATAACTTTAACACTTCCACCCAGTGCTAAAGGGATGAGATGCAATTCCATGGAGTCAATTTTGCTACCTTTTATTCGCACTGATAAAACATGCCGAAGGGAGGATAATCTTAAATCTCAATGTCATGATTTCAGTTTATCCAAAATGAAAATAAAACTCTGGTCTTCAATTTCATGAGCTCTGACAGAGTCAGTTCCCACAAACTCGCATCATAAAAGGAAAAGTTGCACAGAAAGGATATTAAAATTAGACATCTGTATTTCTATAGAAAATATCATGGATGTGCAACATTTTGTCCAATACATGCGGTAAATGAACAAAGACTCAATATTCACTATGACAATTTTATTTTTAATATATCTGAAAATTAAATATGTATTATTTTTCTAACAATGCAAATGAGAAAAAAGACCAGCAACATTAGTGCAAAGCAGCATACTACTGGTTACTACAGGTAGAAACTCCCCCACCCCCCGCCGAAGTGGAATTATCAGCATTTATTTAAAACTTAATATTTTAAACAGTTTTGCAACAAATAAAAATACATTTATTTGGTTCTTATTTTCAAAATTACCTGGTTACATGGCTTTCTACCTGAGAAATTCAAACAAATTGAACAGAAATACATTGACAGATTTTTAGCTTTCTTACAGCACCGTCAGCAGCACATACAAAGAAAAACATGAAAACACCTATTTAAAAAGACAAAGTTTAAAGTTCAGGCCCTTACTTAATAGGACATAGAAAAACGACAGGAGCAAATACTTTTGCACCACTTAAATAACAGCACAACAAAGGACAACAACGTTAATTAAGGTGGTTACAATATTTTCAGTTCTATTTCATTCCTTACTAAGCCATTCAATTGAAAAGTACAGGATGAGTTGTTCTCTTCCTCATTTAAGGCCTACACACAAAAAAGGTTGACTCAAATCTAGAATGCATTATCTATCACAAGACATATAAAAATCCAGGATTGTACAGAAAGTAAACATCAAACCAGTATTTTTACTTTCTTCTAGGTCTCAGGACAGTATTTAGCAAACAAACAAAGCAAGACAAAAATGTTATATAGAAATGACTTAGCACCAGTTCTATGATACAAAAAAAACTGCACATGCTGTATTCTGCAATTTATTTTTTATGTCTGATTACTGAGCAGCAAATTGTTTCCATGCCTTAAAACTCTGCAAAGAAAAGTTATCAAATGACAGAAGGAAGTGAGATTTTTTTTTTTCAAAATAAGCATAGCTGCTTTGCATTACAAACCCATAATGTTCTTTGTTTCAGTGGCATGAAACGAAAAAATAAGGAGGCAGGTTTTCATTGGAGGAGAATACTACCTAATTACTGAAAGTTGTCTGACAAAATACAAGCTGTTCTTGGTTTAAAAGGCTATTCTGGACAACAGTACTTTGAACATTAATAGTTGTTGCTAGTTCTTAGGAGAGAAGGCACTCGCCCATGAGCGATTTTTTTCAGATCTGACAAGCCAGATGTCGTTTTGATGGTAGAGTTACTGGCTTGAAAGTGGAATTGAACACAAGAGAGCCAACAAATCATTCCTTGGTTATCACCTTGTTGATAATAAACATGATCTGCTATGTTACATTCATTTCTGAATTTTTGCATGTACTAACATAGCTCTATTAAAATGTGATTAGAAGAGGTCAATGAAGCAACTTGGGGCTCTTACTTCAGATAAGTGAGATTTTTTGTAGTCCCTGCAGATACCAGGTTGCTAAGAGGCTGATAATGAGCGCACATCCGTGCCACATCATTCCGGGCAGCCACCATGACTGGCAGCTGGCATTCTACCTGGCTCTGCCAGCTGGTACTTTTCTACAGAATAGCAAATGAAGACTGTTTGAAATGGATCATGTCATATGAAAATGTTGCCTTCCACTGCTTCTGTGGATTCAAACCACCTTTTCCTGTTGCAGTCTCTAATGTCATTGGTGTCTTCAATTGCCAGGTCAGGTATAGCTTTGTTGGGGGGGAAAAAAAAGTAATCTACTGCCCCTGAGGTCCTAAATCCAATGTAAGGCAGAATGAATCAGCCGAGCTTTCTACAGAACATGCACTTGCACTAAGATGTAAGTCTTTTAAGAATCTATAAAATATCTCAATTTAAAAACATTTAAGAAATCCAAAACCAGTAGGTAAAAAGATAAATTGCTTATGTTAAGAGTTTACAAATCCTACACAACATACAATGTTTCCCCAGCTAGAAAACTACACACTTTCCTCTTGACTCTTCCTAACTCCATGGCATTATTGAGGGTTGAGGAGGCACTTGTTACTGTTTTATTAAAAGTCGGTTTGGAAATATTCAGTGACTTTTTACAAACTGATGTCACCCGACCCTGAGTGAAAGGATTACATAACCCAAAATGGAATACTGTCACGTCCTCTCTTCCCAAGTGCCATTATTGGTGCCCCAGGATCTTTTCAATATTTCCTTTGCAAACCCCACTTCTTATGTCACTCCAATCCTGCTGCTTTTCTAGGATGGAAAGACATAGGTTAAAAAAAAAAAAAAACTCTGCTTAATGGTCCCCTCTCCATTTAAACCTCAAAGGACAATCCGAGCCACTTTTAGATTCTTCTTCCAAGACTTTGTCCCTAAAAAGACAACTCTTTGAGTACTATCAACATAGTAATAAGATTAATTTCCTCCTGGTGGGTGCTCTTTAATGTCATGAAGAAGTCCATTTATATGTCCTAGCTGTCATCACTCTTCTTTTGTCTATGATTATTTCTAAATAAAACTCAAGGAAGTTTGTTGCTGCACATGGTGTTTCAGACCAAATCAAAGAACATGTAAAAGGAGCCTCATTCATTCACTGTTGTCCTCTTTGAAGATAGATGATACTAAATGATGATGTTATGACAGCTAAGGAGCCATAGAGGGACTACCTCAACCCCTCTCAATGTTATTCTGCTCCTTCACTGGCACCAAATTAAAGTTGCAGTTGAACTATAAAAATGTCTGTCCTTGGATCAAGAAGCTTTGCAAGCATTGTTTTACCAAGCTTCAGCATCTGGATGTTTTGTGTTTCCAAAGCTTGCCAACACACCTGCAGTCATTTTGATCTATGCTTTAAACTCTGGCAAGAGAAACAAGGTTTTATATTTGACTCTGCTTAGGCTTTTAAATGCTGCTCTCTTGCTCTGTAGTTGCTAACTACATAGCTATGTTTGGTTTTAACTTTTCTTCTTGCATCATGGTTATTGTAAATAAGGGTGTTCCTGATCTAAGTGGCCATCAAAACATTTGAAAACATAAAGAACTAGTGTAGTTGTTTCCTAAATAGCTTCCAGAGTCAACGTGCTCTTGACTGTTATGTCTAATATAATAATTATCAGGATTGAGCATGAAATCTTTAGAACTCTCATGCCTTTTATACTTTCTTGCATTCTGGTTACATTCTGACTTCCAAAGAGTCTCTCTTCTTTTGGGAAAATCACCCAAATAGAAAGCGTTAGCACTTTTTAATGATGTTACTGGCACATGAGAGGGTTTATAGTTCACTTTCTGGTCAAATGTATTACCACTAAACCTCCTCTTCTTTCTTGTGATGTTCTCTAATAGATTACTGGAACTGGATTTGTGGTAGTAGCCTTCATCAAACAAGTATTTGGGGGATAGTTTTTCCCTCTTTTTGCTGCTGTTCTTTTCATCTCTAATGAAATTGCTTTCACCCTCAAGCCATGAACATCTCAGTTCGTACTTAGACCTCTTGCTTGGTGTCCTAAGCTTGTATTTAGAGTAGTTTTCCTCACCATCATGTTTCAACTCTGAATACAAGGTCTGCTGATTTGACCTAGGTTCTTGTTCGCAAGTGATGATTTCGTCAGGGTCAAGAGGTCCTTTTTCTGAGGAGCTGTGATATGTGGCCACAGATCTCTCTTTCTCCTCTTTGTTTACACTAAGGGTTTCACTGAAGCATTCAGAATCACTACTAATTTCCTCTAAGAAATCTGTCAACTGCAAATCTAAGCCTACTGACCTATAGGGTGAAGATACTTGGCTTTTCCTTGTGGATTTGGAATCTTCGATATGGTAAGTGTGAGACTTTTCTAACTGATGGCTGTTTCCATCAGCTGGGGACAGCTCATCACCAGCTTTACCGCCTATATCCTTGCAATGGTTTTTAAATTCGTTAGTACATTCATTGGCATAATCCACTTTTACCCTCTCTTGTGGTTTATGCTCAGGATCCTGAGTACAAATCTTTGACCAGTAATCATCTTCTTCAATTTGTTCTCTCCTTTCCAGGTTTTGCATTTGGCTCAAATTGGTTGAGTGATGCCTGCGCTTTCTCAAATTAATCTGAAATCCATTTCCTTTAGCATGGACGTCCCTCTGCCACTGACACTTGCCTGTTACGTGACTTGGTTCTAGATAGATACGGGCATAACTTGGAGTTTGATAATAGTTTAATAGATAGTCAATAAATTCATCTGTTTCATAGATCTTATGTTTCCTTCCATGGTCTCTCTCAGGTAATGCAGAAGAATAGGATTTATTAGAACTGTGGTGGTCTTCTTTCTCAAGAGTTGGACCTTGAATCATTGCAATCTGCAAGGAATTCTGGTCAAAACCCAAACTGTGGTTGTATCCGTCAGTTAATAATTCTCCAGTTCTCTCTTTTCTAGTTGAGTATCTTAATTTTTTTTTCCCAAGGCGGTGGGAAGATTTATGTAAGTGAGCCCCTGTTCTTTTCTTCATTTTTTGTTTCCGTTTATTGTCTGACTTGGCAACCTGATCTTTTGGCATTTCCTCTTGATTTTGAAGGTGCTGAGTGTTTAACTCTTCTTCCTCCAGAGTTCCCAATGTGTTTCCTAGAGCATGAGTAGCTTTGGGGCCTGTAACGTCGACCTCCTGTGGGTTAAATTGACTGGATCCCTTCAAAGAAAAACGTTAAAAATCTCACATGAAAAACTAAACATTAAAAAATTCCAAAGAAAGTTGGACTTTCTGACATTGTATTGAAGAGACTTGTAACACCTGGGCTAGATCCAAATTGGGGATAATATCGCACTGAGGAAATAGAAGGCACAAAATTAAATGTCTTAGTCTAATATGGGCTGCTTTTGCTAGGTCTGTGCTGATGCTTCGGTCTGAAGGCACCACACTTTACATGGCCTTCAAAGCACATGCTTCTTTTTTTATTTGTTCAAAGATCAATGAGCCTACTGTTCCAGGTAGTGTGCTGGGAACCGGAGATACAAAGAGGAATAAGAAATGCTCTCCATAGCCCTTCCAAAAAATCCTAGTGCAAGAAAAGACTGAGGGATGAAATGTGTATCTAAAAGGGTCAACTGGCTTAAAAGATAAACTGTCTTTCTGTTTCTTGTATCAGCCTCTTACTATGGATTGCAGGTGAGGATGTCTCTGGGTTGCTCTGCCTTGTCCTCACTCAGTAAAATGCAAGACAACAAGTAGCAAATGTGGCTGTGACCACGGTTCTATCTGCAGTTATGTACATGGTGCTATTTGCTCTGCACAACCACAGAGCAGGTAAAAGGGGCAGCCTACAGGCTGGAGGGTTTGTGCTGTGCACCCACTGATACCTGACACACCAGAGTGCAGTGCCTACCCATTACCTGGGATTGGAACTTGGGGACTGCATAATCGGTATAAGTATTAATGGGGCCAAGAATCAGACACCACATGCATTGAAAGAGAAATTATTTAGGAGGAGTTGCCCTCAGCAGTTATTATAGTAAACTAAAAAGATCCAGCTAGCCTTATTATAAATGTAAATAAATGTGAGATTTTTCTGATCCTGATTTCACTAAGTTTGATAGTCCACACTAATGAGAAAGAGGTCAAGACTGCAAATATACATAAAATTAACTCTGTTTAATCTTAATGGCATTTATTATTCATATTTAAAAAAACTGAATATGGATTTTTAAATTGGGAGCCTTTCTAACTTTTAATCCGGGACTTCTGCTGACTCTGGCAATCCTTACATACTCAGAAAGAAGAAACACCTTCCAAAACTGAAACTCTGCAAGCAAAACAATTATTCCATGAGGTGAGAAATTCTTTATCGAATAGTTTAAGACTAGACTAACATGAGTTTGCTACAAGGCTCAAGACTCTTCCTTCTCATCCAAACCTGTTGCAGATGAATGGACAAGTCAAGTTAATAGAAGACTACAAACCTAACACCCACAGTATCCACTGCTTTCCCTTAGCACTTTTTGTTGTTGTTGTTGTTACATCCATTAGGAACTTGGAAAAATAGATAAACTACCTAAATTGCTCTGGGGACTACCATCCTGAAGTTTAGAAATACAAAGTGTGTGTGTTGGATGGCGGGGTTGGGACACAATTCCTTTAAAGAATGTGGATATTGGCCGGGCGCGGTGGCTCACGCCTGTAATCCTAGCACTCTGGGAGGCCGAGGTGGGTGGATCCTTTGAGCTCAGGAATTCGAGACCAGCCTGAGCAAGAGCGAGATCCCGTCTCTACTAAAAATAGAAAGAAATGATCTGGACAACTAAAATATATATATATATATATATATATATATAAATTAGCCAGGCATGGTGGCACATCCTTGTCCCAGCTACTTGGGAGGCTGAGGCAGAAGGATTGCTTGAGCCCAGGAGTTTGAGGTTGCTGTGAGCTAGGCTGACACCACGGCACTCTAGCCCAGGCAACAGAGTGAGACTCTGTCTCAAAAAAAAAAAAAAAAGAATGTGGATGTCCCTTTTATAAATCCACTATTGGGGTTGACAGAGATCAGCCTATTTAAAAAAAAAAACAACCCAATGGATACGAGTCTTTCATGGAGTCGATTTTCAGTAGGCCCCTGCTTAAATGCAAAGGGAATGTTTCAGAAAGGTTAGCACCTACTCAAATGGAAGAACAATAGGGAAATAGCCTTACTGCAATTTTCCTCAAGAGTACCCGTAGCAAGCGAAGGGCCTCAACCCGCCTCTGAGCCAGCAGGTACTTCCGCTCCTCCCACTCCTCTGAAGAGTCCAGCTCCCGTGGTTCCTCAGTTTTGGCTTTGTCCTTCTGCTTCCTTTGCCGGTGTCTGTCCCTTTCCTTCAGCGTTCGCTTCCTGACCCTGGCCTTCTTCCTCTTTTCCTGGGCCTTCCTCTCCTCGTCTTTTCTTCTTCTGGACAATGATTAAGATGAAACTATTCAGAAGGTATTTATTAAGCATTGGATCTCCTCGCTCCTTCCCCCTGCCAGGGGAGGACAGAGCGGCTAGTTTCCAGGAATCTACCACTGCTAACCCCAGGGCCTAGCATAGGCAACGTATGATAAAACAACAATACTGTTAAGCATCAGTCAAGGGAGAAAGACACATCATTTCGTTGGTCAGACAGAAGCATGTGAAGGAGACCTTATGCGGAGCTAGAGCATCAAAAAAAAGAAGCCTACAGAATTCAAAGGAGGGGCCTCTAGCCCTCATTTTATCAAACCACTGGCAGGGACTACAGGATCCAGCTTTCACAGTGATGACCCATTTTTCTTGTGAACAAAACCTCTGTGAGTTGGTTTCACACAGGCAAATAAAGATGAGTCAAGGCACTCAGAAAATCTTCAGGGTGAGAACTGGTCATTGGCACATAATAACACAGCATATACCATCAGAAAAACATACTGGCTTACAAAAATATGGGTATTTTTTATAGCTATTTTCTGAAAATTAAAACTATTTCAGTTAGGCCCTTATGGAAACATGGGGAAGGGGAAAGAAGAGACAATTATCAGAGTCAAAACTTAGCCAAAACCCAGAAGATGATCTAAATTGGATGTTCAGCCTAGAATTTTGGGGGGAATAGTTTCTTTACTGAGCTCAAGCCCTGGCCAAATTTCCCAGATAGAGCCTCAGGTAACTCCTATCACCCCACCAGCCAACAAAGGGAGAGGCACATGGAAGGATACTCTTTATCCCATTTTTTGAATGGCTACAACTTACATGAAAGATTGGAAGAATAAATATGCATGAGGTGGGGCCAAGAGGTAAAATTGGTTTTCAGAGCCCCATAGTTCTGGCCCATCTGTACTTTCTTGCCAAACTTTTGGCAATCCAATAGCCCCTTTCAGGCCCCAAACCCTAAATTGGAAAATAATGATAAGCTCAAAGAAATAAATATGGAGGCTCCTTACCTTCACAAAGCATTTAAGTGAATGAGAAAAATGGTCCCAACAAATCCATGCCTTCTTGCCTATGGGTTAGTTTGATTATTGACTATTTTATAGAAGCAGCTCTTTTCCAGACCTAATTTTTTAAATTTTTAAATTAATACACTAGGTAATATTGGCAAATTTTAGGTAAATTGGTAAAATTTTTAATCTGGAAGGCTAGGGTTTTTGGCGTAAACGTTCCTGGTCCTTTTTTAAAAAAAATCGTTTCTTTCCAGACATCTTAATCTGTTTAGTTCCATTATTGCTCAGTATTTGTTCTCCCTGACATACATGTTTTATTGTCTCCCTCTGTCACCCAGGCTAGAACACAGTGGCATGATCATAGCTCACTGCAGCTTCAAACTCCTGGGCTCAAGTGATTCTCCTGCCTCAGCCTCCTGAGTAGCTGAGACTATAGGCGTATGCCATGATGCCCGGCTAGACAAACATAATTTCTGAAATCTCTTGTTTTCAACTGTTAGTCATTTTGGTTTTGTAACAGCACAGTTGAAAGACTGTAGACTTCGGTGGAGTTTTCTAATCTGAGCCAATTCCTGCTCCCCTCCCCAATGTTGTCTATCAAGTCTAGCCATTCACCCAAAGACATTAATCCATAAATCAAAAGGAAAAAAACCTTCTTCACTAAAGTTGGTCTATATACCTTTCAGCCACTTCCTCTTCTCTTTTCTTTTCCTTTTTCCTTTCTTCTTCCAACTCTTGTAATTTTAGCCTTTCCTGATTTCTTCTCCTTATAGCTCCTTCGCTGAAGTGTTTAGTTGTATCAAACATAACCTGCCCCAAAACAATTCAAAGTTTCATTAGAAGAGTTTTCTAGCCAGCTGGGTATGTCCCAGGCCAAACAGATAAAACTAAGATGGTACAAGTCAACTCAAGATCAAATGAATTCAAAATGTGCTCTCTGCATCCTGGTAGCCATGCTGTTTCACTGCTTCTTAGCTGCTAACTGAATAGTGCTTGTGGGCTCTGGGATTTTCTATGGCAGAACCTTTGAATAAGTATATCAAATCATCATCTTAACTTTATACAATTTTGTTTGTCAATCATACCTCAATAAAGCTATTTTAAAAACCCTTGAGGAGCTTACTTTACATATGGTCATAGCACAGTGCCATTATAGGCATAGGCTGAGAAATGCGAGTATATTACCTCTAGTTTGTTATAAAGATCAACTGAGTTAATGTATTTTTTTTTTAGTCACCAGAGACAAAAATAGTCAAAAAGTATGCATGTGGGGGAGGAGCAAAAATGCAAGAAAACTGATCTAATGAGATACAATATCTGATTATTGTGGTTATTAAACTACTTTTAAAATCTTGACATACAGGGAAAGTCAGATTGAGGCACTACAAAATAGATTTGCTTAAAAAATAAAAGGACTAGGACACAAAGCATGTCTCAAAAAATTTAAAAAAACAGAAATCATACCATGCATCTTCTCAGATCACAGTGGAAGAAAAACAGAAATCAACCCCAACAGAAACTCTCATCTCTACACAAAGGCATGGAAAGTAAACAACTTTCTGCTGAACGATTCCTTCATAAACGAGGAAGTAAAGATGGAAATCAAAAGATTCTTTGAACTAAATGACAAAGGTGACACAAGTTATCAAAGTCTGTGGGACACAGCCAAAGCAGTCCTGAGAGGAAAGTTTATTTCCATAAATGCCTATATCCAAAAGTCAAAAAGATCACAAATAGACAACGTAATGAATCGACTCAAAGAACTGGAAAAAGAAGAACAGACCAACCCCAAACCCAGCAGAAGAAGGGAAATTAATAAGATCAAATCAGAACTAAATGAAATTGACAACAGGGAAACTATACAGAAGATTGACAAAACAAAAAGTTGGTTCTTTGAAAAAATAAACAAAATTGACACACCTTTGGGTAAACTAACGAAAAACAGAAAAGAAAAATCCCTAATAAGCTCCATCAGGAACAAAAACAGAGAAGTTACAACTGATGCCATGGAGATTCAAGATATAATTTATGAATATTACAAAAATCTTTATGCACACAAAGTGGAAAATGTGGAGGAAATGGAAAAATTTTTAGAAACACACAGCCTCCCTAGGCTCAACCAGGAAGAAATAGAATTCCTGAACAGACCAATATCAAGGACTGAAATTGAAACAGCAATAAAAAACATTCCAAAAAAGAAAAGTCCCGGACCAGACGGTTTCACACCCGAATTTTACCACACCTACAAAGAAGAACTGGTGCCTATCCTGCAGAAATTTTTCCACAGCATCGAGAAGGATGGATTCCTCCCAAACACATTTTATGAAGCCAACATAACCCTGATACCAAAACCAAGAAAGGACGCAACAAAAAAGGAAAACTACAGACCAATATCCCTTATGAATATAGATGCAAAAATTCTCAACAAAATTCTAGCTAACCGAATCCAGGTGCTTATTAAGAAAATAATCCATCATGACCAAGTGGGCTTCATCCCAGAGATGCAGGGATGGTTCAACATACGCAAATCTATAAACGTAATTCACCACATAAACAGAAGCAAAAACAAAAACCATAGGATTCTCTCAATAGACGCAGAAAAAGCATTTGACAAAATTCAACACCCTTTTATGATAAGAACGCTTAACAAAATAGGCATAGATGGGGCTTACCTAAAAATGATACAAGCCATTTATGACAAACCCACAGTCAACATCATACTGAATGGGGAAAAATTGAAAGCATTCCCACTTAGAACTGGAAGCAGACAAGGTTGCCCACTATCTCCACTTCTATTCAACATAATGCTGGAAGTCCTGGCCACAGCAATCAGGCAAGAGAGTGGAATTAAAGGCATACGAATGGGAACAGAAGAGATCAAACTCTCACTATTTGCTGATGACATGATATTATATCTAGAAAACCCCATGGATTCAACCAAGAGGCTCCTGGAATTGATAAATGAATTCAGTAAAGTCTCAGGATATAAAATCAATACACACAAATCAGAGGCTTTCATATACGCCAATAGCAGTCATACCGAGAACCAAATCAAAGACTCAATTCCCTTCACAATAGCAACAAAGAAAATAAAGTATCTAGGAATATATTTAACTAAGGAGGTAAAAGACCTCTATAGGGAGAACTATGAAACATTGAGGAAGGAAATAGCAGAGGACGTAAACAGGTGGAAAACCATACCATGCTCATGGGTTGGCAGAATTAGCATCGTTAAGATGTCTATACTACCCAAAGTGATCTACAGATTCAATGCAATCCCTATTAAAATACCAACATCATTCTTCACAGATGTAGAAAAATTAATTTTACGCTTCGTATGGAACCAGAGAAGATCCCGCATAGCAAAAACAATTCTAGGCAATAAAAACAAAATGGAGGTATCAACTTACCAGACTTCAAACTTTATTATAAGGCTGTAGTAATCAAAACAGCTTGATACTGGCATAAAAATAGAGCCATTGACCAGTGGAACAGAACTGAGAACCCAGATATAAAACTGTCCTCATATAGCCACCTAATCTTTGACAAAGCAGACAAAAACATACACTGGGGAAAAGAATCCTTATTCAATAAATGGTGCTGGGAAAACTGGATAGCCACATGTAGAAGACTGCAGCAGGATCCACACCTTTCACCTCTCACAAAAATCAACTCACGCTGGGTAACAGATTTAAACCTAAGGAGTGAAACTATTAGAATTCTAGAGGAAGATGTTGGAAATACTCTTCTAGACATTGGCCTAGGCAAAGAATTTATGAAGAAGACCCCAAAGGCAATCACAGCAACAACCAAAATAAACAAATGGCATCTGATCAAATTAAAAAGCTTCTGCACAGCCAAAGAAACTGTCACAAGAGCAAACAGACAATCTACAGAATGGGAGAAAATTTTTGCATGCTACAAATCCGATAAAGGGCTGATAACCAGAATCTACTTAGAACTCGGGAAAATCAACAAGAAAAAAATCAAACGACCCTATCAAAAAGTGGGCAAAGGACATGAACAGAAACTTTGCAAAAGAAGACAGAATAATGGCCAAAAAACATATGGAAAAATGCTCAACATCTCTAATCATCAGGGAAATGCAAATCAAAACCACAATGAGATATCACTTATCTCCAGTGAGGCTGGCCTTTATCAAAAAGTCCCAAAACAATAAATGTTGGCATGGATGCGGAGAGATAGGAACACTCATGCACTGCTGGTGGGATTGCAAACTAGTGCAACCTCTGTGGAAAGCAATATGGAGATACCTTAAAGAGATACAAGTAGAAGTACCATTCAATCCAGCAATCCCATTACTGGGTATCTACCCAAAAGACCAAATGATATTGTATAAGAAAGACACCTGCACCCGAATGTTTATAGCAGCACAATTCACAATTGCAAAGATGTGGAAACAACCCAAGTGTCCATCAATACATGAGTGGATTAATAAAATGTGGTATATGTATACCATGGAGTACTATTCAGCTTTAAGAAACAATGGTGATATAGCACCTCTTGTATACTCCTGGATAGAGTTGGAACACATTCTACTAAGTGAAGTATCCCAAGAATGGAAAAACAAGCACCCCATGTACTCACCATCAAATTGGTATTAACTGATCAACACATAAGTGTACATATAAGAATAACATCTATCAGATGTTGGGCACGGGGGAGGGGGGAGGGAGAGGAGGGGAAGGGTATTTGCATACACAAAGAGTGCAATGCGCACCATCCAAGGGATGGGCACACTTGAAACTCGGACTTGGAGGGGAGTGGGGAGGCAAGGAAAAAAATAAAAATAAAAAAATAAAAGGAGGCAGAAGTAGCTACTTCCATATGTATAACAATGGTAAACAACAAATTTATGATCATGGTTAGCTTTGACGTGAGGGAGGGTAATGTGATTGATGATAGGTACATGCAGGGGGAGTGGTCTCTCATTTACTGGTAATGTTTCATTTTTAAGCTGAGTAGTGGTATATGGGTGGTCATTATGGTATTTCCTATATCTTTTGTCTGACTGAATAGTGCATAATTTAAATATATTCATTTTAACATAAGTAGCAATAGACATACACATACATACGCGTGCATGCACGCACACACTTATACACTGGAAGTTGAAAGTCCAAATTCATGCTAAAGACTGATTTAGAGAAAAAGGAGGGCTTAGTCATATCTTTTCCACTACTGGGTTAAGACTTCAAGAGGGAGATGACCCAAGCATGCCGACATCAATCAGGTGACATGACTGGATAGACAGGCTGATTTTGAAAGAAAAAGATCCAAGTTTTTAGGATTATGTTTTAGCGGTTTACCTGACAGACATCCTGAAACTATAAGTTGTGACCCCAGGAGTAAAGAGGGAATAAAGTACTTTCCATGTGGTTTCAAACTGTATGTATTCCCCTCTCTCTCAGCAACTTGTCAAATATAATAAGCATATGAGGTAATTCCATAGGGGCCATGATGAATCTTTTAATGCCCTTGAGAAGTTGGGACAGAGCCCCAGATTATAACAACCATCACTTTAAAATCACAGCTAGCAGTATGCCTGATAGCACAAGAATTGAGTGTTCAAATCAGGATTATTTTTCTCCCTAAACATTTTATTAAGGACAACGCAAGTCTTTACACTAGCAATTGATCAGAGCCTGGTAGGGTCCAAGGAAATTTATTCTAAATGCTTCCTTCCAGCTTTTACTCAGGATCACCTGAACAGTGGAAAATAAAAGAAACTCTTACTCCTTACCTTAATGTTACACGCCAGAGCTTTCCCATCATCTCCTTTAAGCATTAGCTTCATTCCTCGAAGGGACTCCATGGCTTTTACAAAGTCAGTTGACTCTTGGTACTGTATGAAGGCCTCGAATGTCTGCAAGCCAAAGCTAAAACCCCCAAAGCTCCCACCAGTCATCACTTCTCTGTAGGGGTCAAGCATAGGGATATCCACATTCTTGATCTTCCCAAAACTTTCAAAAACTACCCGAAGGATCTCTTCACACGGCTTCTCCCCACTAGAGCCTTTAGGTGCAAACCATTTACAGGGCAAGCCTTCAAAATATATAGAATCTGGGCTCTTATCATGGTTCTGCTCTTCGGCCTCATCACTCAACGAGGCCTCTCTGTCCTTGGGGAAGTGTTCCCACTCTCCCTGGGCATCTGTGGCCACTACTTTTAAGTCTGTTTTCAAACCATTTAGCTTGATGATCTTCCCATGTAACTTTGCCTTCAGGATCTGAACCAAACTTCGGTTTTCAGCCTCACCCTCAAATCGGATGAAGTCCCTTGTGCTCTTGGAGAGCCGAACTGTGGTGAACTGGTCTGGGCAAATCAGGCTCTTCAGCTGGTCAAGAACTTCCCAGTTAGAGAAGGGCCTCACAGGTTCTAGACTCTCTGGGAGCAATACATTGATCATCAATTTTGCTATGGGCTTGAGGTAGAGGTGCTGAGCTGCACAGAGCTCTGTTGCCTCCGAGTTATCATACACCACCGTGACTGTCATGGTGTCCTCAGACGACCTTAGAGGGTGAAAGAGAAAATTTTGATACAAATGGAGCAATATACAGATTTGGATTGTGAAATGTGCTAGTATTGCTGGACTTAGGTCAAAATTGATAGGAAAAAGTATACTGTGGGTAGAATTAATATCTTACAACTCCTGGAACTAAGTGATTACAGCAAGGTGGCAGAATACAAGGTTAATACAAAAAAAGTCAATAGCCATCCTATATACCAACAATGGACAAGTAGAATTTGAAATTTAAAACTCAATACCATTTACGTTAACACACAAAATAATGAAATACTTAGAAATCTAATAAAATATGTGCAAGATTTATATAAGGAAAACTATAAAACTCTGATGAAAGATATCAAAGATGAACTAAATAAGTGGGCCATGAATAAGAAGACTCAAGATGTCAGTTCTTCCCAACTTGATCTATAGATTCAAAGCAGTCCCAATCAAAATCTCTGAAAGTATTTTGTGGATATTGACAAACTGATTCTAAAGTTTATATGGAGAGGCAAAAGACCCAGAATAACCAACTCAATATTGAAGGAGAAGAACAGAGTTGGAGGACTTACACTATCCAACTTCAAGACTTACTATAAAGCTACAGTAATCAAGACAGTGTGGTATTGGCAAAAGAATAGACACATAGATCAATGGAACAGAATAGGGTGCCCAGAAATTGGCCCACATAAATATAATCAACTGATCTTTGAAAAAATGAGCAAAGACAATGAAATGGAGCAAAAATAGTCTTTTCAACAAATGGTTTTGGAACAATTGGACATCCACGTGACCCTGGGTATGGTGATGACTTTTTAAATGCAACACTAAAGTCATGATCCATAAAAGAAATAACCGATAAGCCCAACTTTGCTAAAATTTAAAACTTCTGAGAGTTGAGTCCAACCTCTCTCCCATGCTACAAGAACCTATTGCAGTGGCCCCTGTACCTATCTTCATGGCTCCGTTTGAATAAAGTCTGTCTTATCATCTTAAAAATGAATAAATAAATAAATAAATAAATAAAACTTCTACTCTGCAAAAGACACTATCAAGAGAATGAAAAAACAAGCTACAGACTGGGAGAAAAGATTTGCAAAAGACATGTCAGATAAAGGACTGTTATCCAAAATATACAAAGAGCTCTTAAAACTCAATAATAAGAACATAATCTGATTTTAAAATGGGCCAAAGCCTGAACAGATACTTCCCTAAAAAAGATATACGGATGGCAAAAAGCATATGAAAAGATGCTCCGTATCATATGTCATCAGGGAAATAAAAATTAAAATGAGATACCACCAAATACCTATTAGAATGTCCAAAATCCAGAACACTGACCACACCAAATGCTAGTGAGGATGTGGTACAATGGAAACTCTCATTCACTGCTGGTGGGAATGCAAGACGGTACAGACACACTGCAAGATAATTTGGAGGTTTCTTATAAAACTCTTGTAAGAAATTCTTGACATACAATCTAGCAATCACACTCCTTGGTATTTCCCCAAAGGAGTTGAAAATTTATGTCCATATAAAAACCTGCACAAAATGTTTATAGCAGCTTTATTCACAATTGCCAAAACCCAGAAGCAACCAAGATGTTTTTCAGTAGGTGAGTGTTTTTCAGTAGGTGATAAAGTGTGGTACATCCAGACAATGGAATATTATTCAGAGCAAAAAAGAAATGAGCTATTAAACCATGAAAAGACATGGAGGAGACTTAAGTGCACATTACTAAGTGAAAGAAGCCAGTCTGAAAAAGGTTACATACTATGTAATTCCAAGTATATGACATTCTGGAAAAAGAAAAACTATGGAGACAGTAAAAAGATCAGTAGTTGCCAAGGGTTAGAGGGGTTGAGCACAGGGAATTTTTAGGGCAGTGAAACTATTCCATATGATACTATTAATATAATGGTGAATACATGTCATCCATTACACACTTGTCCAAACTCATAGAATGTTCAATACCAAGAGTGAACCCAACGTTAACTATGGATTTCGAGTGATGATGATGTGTTGATGTAGGTTTCATTGACTAACAAATGTACCACTCTGCTGGGGGATATTGATAATGGGGGGAAGGTTGTGCGTGTGACCGGGCAGGGGGTATATGGGAACTCTCTGTACCTTTTGCTCAATTTTCCTGTGAACCTAAAACTTCTCTGAAAAAAAAAGACTGTTAATAATATCTAACATTTATTTAACAGTATTTGTTTAATGTGTTTTAGAATTTTCAAAGAGCTTCCATATACTGTGTCTCAGTTTCCTTAACCATAAAAATAGATATAATAGGATTTGGGGGAGGATTAAATGAGTACAGGTGAAATCCTTAGAATAGTGCCTAGAACACAGGAAGTTCTCAATAAACACAAGCTATGAATATTATTTATTAGTAGTACTAGTCTTACTTTACTTCCCTTGATTCATAAAATAACCTGTGATTAGGTATTTTCATGCCTGTTTTACAATGGCAAAATCAGACAGATTTGGGAAATTAAAAGACTTGTCCATACATGGAGACTCCAAGATTCCAAATCCCCAATATATTGTACAATTGATCTCAAATGTAAAGTCTCATAAAAACCTGCTGGTGATGGTATAGAAACAGGGCAAGGGTGGCACATGAATGTGCACCCAACTAATAGTTCTAACCCATGCACCTGATTTAGCATCCTTTGTCCAGGTTGGTTTCCAAGTCTCCAATGAACATATCTACTCTTATTCTTCCAGTCTATTGACCTCAACTAAATTGATCTATAAGGTCAAGTGAAGAGGATACACCTCTTCTAATGAGTGGCAAAGTGAATTTGGCCTCTACTTTGGGACTGGAAAAACCCCCAAACATGAGTGCTTGCTGGAATTTCATATTAACAAACTCTTTGGGCCAGGCGTGGTGGCTCACGCCTGTAATCCTAGCTCTCTGGGAGGCCGAGGCGGGCGGATTGCTTGAGCTCAGGAGTTCGAAACCATCCTGAGCAAGAGCAAGACCTCGTCTCTACTAAAAATAGAAAGAAATTAATTGGAAAACTAAAAAATATATAGAAAAAATTAGCTGGGCATGGTGGTGCATGCCTGTAGTCCCAGTTACTCGGGAGGCTGAGGCAGGAGGATCGCTTGAGCCCAGGAGTTTGAGGTTGCTGTGAGCTAGGGTGACGCCACGGCACTCTAGCCCGGGCAACACAATGAGACTCTGTCTCAAAAAAAAAAAAAAAAAAAAAAAAACAAACTTTTTGAAGCTGTCCCAAGGTGAATAAGATCACTAATGCTGGGAATTAGAGATGTAAGCTTCTATTTGCTTACTTCAAATAGCACTTCCCAATAAAGGAATTTTTTCTCAGTGGATATATTCAGACTATGTCACCCAAATTTCTCATTAATATCAACTTTAGGGAGATTTAGACCCAAACATATATGGCCAGACGATGGATATTCTAACATAAAATTTACTACTAAATCTTGGTTAACCTTACAGGTACGAAATTCTTTAATAACTATCCCTAAATGACAGTCCAAGTCAATTTCCTTTAGGAGACAAGGTTAGTATAGGCTGATTTTATAAAAGGTCATCAAAAACAATATCTAAGATACTAGGTTCTAGATAGAAACCTTTATGATAGCAACACTGAAATGGGATGATATGAGAAAAAAACATGTTTTCTTTCTCCTAACACATTATCTAAATAGCAAAATGAAAAAAAAAATCCAGTTAGTTTGCTGTAATTTGCAATGAGTCAGCACTAAGCTTTATTAGGAGAAAAATTAATTTGATACTTTAATTAAGATATACTGAACTCCAAAATTTATTTATAGCCAGCAAGTATTTATTTATATAACCTAATTTAAAGCAACAGCTTTTTAAAAACATTTCAGAGAAAATCCACCCAAAATAAAGTTAGTCACTTCGAGAGTTTGTTGAGCTCTCCATTATTCCAGTGATACTGCCTTTGTTTTAAACATTGCAAAAGGCTTCTCTTGGATTGATTTCAAAGTTTGGGCTACATTCTTTTAAATAGCCTTGATATAGATCAATTTCTAAATTCTTTATCATGGATTTGACATTTAGAAATCATCAAAATTTATCTAGAATCAAGAAAGCTGGATAAAATGAATGACTATAAAGAACAAACTAATTGTCCCAAGAAGACCCAAATGTTTTTGAAAATAAAAAAAGAATGGCCTCCTTTAAAATCCTCCCAACTCAGTTTCCAGTTTCCCAAGGACAATGACAATAAACTGGAACGTTTTTTCTTTTCATATCTTCCACAGTTGTTCATGGGCTTTAGATCTTAAAATGAAATGTCTATGAATATTTCATCTTAAATTATTCTCCAAGAACAGAGGGCAAATTTTCAAATATTATTTTTAAAAAATATTGAGGACCCAGTATGTACCAAGTAGTAGACTTTTTATATATATCACATCTTCAGTGCTACAGCAATATCATTGGCAACTGTGCCAGGTCACTAAAAATTAACTAGCATAGTTTCTGACACATAGGAGCACAACAACCAACTCCTGGTTGTGATGCTTCTTCCTCAAGGAGACCTCAGGTCAAAACCTAATGGAAAATAAAGAAGAAGAAGGAGGAGAAAAAGGAGGAGGAGGAGGAGGAGGAGGAGAGAGGGAGGGAGGGAGGAAGGGTAGAAGGGAGAGAGTGGGCGGGTAGATACGTATTAACTGACAAGGAAGGATGCCCATGATACTTTTTAGAAAAGAAAATAAAAAGCAAGTTGAAGAATAATAATATACAATATGATATTGTTTTTGTAAAAGTCATATAATAAAGTCATAAAAGTAATATAAACACACATGGCCACGCACACACATATATAGTCAGGAAAGAGGTATATCAAATTGTTAACAGTCTTTCCCCTGGGAAATGGACTGAGACCATAGGAAAGGAATGGACTTTCCCTTTTTACTTTGTACATTTCTTATTGCTTCAATTTTTGAATGTTTACAATAAGCATGTGTTAATTTTGTATTCCAATCTTTTTA